ATGGTGCTGGGGATGGCTCCAGCTTTGGGTCTGAGATGGCATATGCCACAGGGCAGCTCGGCTACGGGACCCCTGGGTGTCGTGAGGGTGTCTGAAGCCCCATGGAAACTTGGCCGTGGATGCCCAGTGTCCCCTGTCTGGCCACTCTGTCATGCTCTGACATGACAAACAAAGGCTGGGGCACAGGCCAGAGGTGGTTACACCCAGGATGGTTGGGAGATATGGGCAGGGAGTCTTGGCTCTGAACTCCTCCTCCTTGGATTTAAAAAATCAAAAGAAGTTTTCTGGCTCTGTGACCTTGGTCAGCTTGCTCAGTCTCCATGGGCCTCAGTTTTCCTGATCTGTGAAATGGGGACACAAGAACACCTCCCTCCTAGGAGCACAGCAGGAATGAAACGGGCTAAGGAAGCTTCCTTCGAAAGGAGCTATGGGTAGGTCTTTGTATAGGACAGGATTCCGGGGGAGGGGTGGTGCTTTAATTTTTTTTTTTTTTTTTTGAGAGGCAGAGTGGACAGTGAGAGAGAGACAGAGAGAAAGGTCTTCCTTTTGCTGTTGGTTCACCCCTCAATGGCTGCCGCGGCCGGTGCATCACGCTGATCCGAAGCCAGGAGCCAGATGCTTCTCCTGGTCTCCCATGCGGGTGCAGTGCCCAAGTACTTGGGCCATCCTCCACTGCACTCCTGGGCCACAGCAGAGAGCTGGCCTGGAAGAGGGGCAACCGGGACAGAATCCAGCGCCCCGACTGGGACTAGAACCCGGTGTGCCGGCGCCACAAGGCAGAGGATTAGCCTGGTGAGCCGCGGCACCGGCTGAGTGCTTTAATTTTAATGCTTAAGCTTTTAGTTCAATTGCATTGCAGGGGCTCCAGATTATACCACAAACCCATGATTTTTCAGATGCTACTGCATACAAGCAGGCAAAGCTTATCTGGCCAAAAATTGATTAAAAAAATGCAATATGGGGAAAAATGGATGGTTCTGAGTCAGGGCAGAAATTGCAACTGGCTGCCTTCTGGGGCTTACAGGGAGGTTTTCCTCTCAGCTGTGAGTGCCTCGGGCTCCCCAGCACCTGCTCCACTCCGCAGAGGCACATGGTGAAAGGCACCAAGCAGAACACACAGGTTACAGATGAAGACAGTTATGCAGAAATGTAGCTATCAGATATAGTTTCACTTTTTGGAAAGGATTTATTTGTTTGAAAAGCAGAGAGAGAGAGAGAGAGAGAGAGAGAGAGAGAGCAAGTGAGCTTCCATCTACTGGTTCACTCCCCAAATGCCCACAACAGCCGTTTCTGGGTCAGCCTGCGGCCAGGAGCCAGGAGCCCCATCTGGGTCTCCCACATGGGTGGCAGGAGCCCGAGGACTTGAGCCGCCATCTGCTGCTTCCCGGATGCCTTGTAGGAAGCAGGATTGGGAGCAGGACTCCATCCTAGGCATCCCAAAGGCTGTTGAACTTGCTGCACCACAACACTTGCCCCCAAAATTTATCTTTTATTTATTTGAATGGCAGAGAGACAGAGACAGAAACAGAGACAGAGATCTCTTGTCTGCTGGTTTACTTTCCAAATTCCTGAGCAGCCAGGGCTGGGCCAGGCTGAAGCCAGGAGCTCAGAACTCATTCCACGTTTTGCATGCAAGTGGCAGGGACCAAACCAAGTTCTTGAGCCACCACCTGCTCCCCCCCACCCCCCGCCCCACGCACATCAACAAGGAGTTGGATGGGGAGCAGAGCAGAGACTCAGACCTAGGCACTGTGCTATGGGACATGGGCAGTCAAATGGCTTCTTAGACAGTGCACCCAATGCCCACCTTGACAATATTTCTGGGGCTGGTAGCAGGTAAAGCCACCACCTATGAGGCAGGCATCCCATATGGGTGCTGGCTCAAGTCCCGGCTGCTCCACTTCTGATCCAGCTCCCAGCTAATGTGCCTGAGAAAGCAGCAGAGAATGGCCCAAGTCCTTGGGTCCCTGCTGTCCACATGGGAGACCCAGATGAAGCTCCTGGCTCCTGGCTTCGGCCTAGCCCAGCCCTGGCCATTGTGGCCATCTGCAGAGTGCACCAGCAGATGGAAGATCTCTCTGTCCCTCTCCTCCTCTCTCTGCAACTCTGCCTCTCAAATAAATAAATAAATCTTTTGAAAAACCTTTCTGAGTGGTGATGAGGCAATATGTATGCTTTATAAATGCCTTGCTCAAGGTCCCCTCCCCACCCTAAGTGGGATGAGGATGTTCATGGGTGAATCTTTTTCCTTCTTCCACACTCTGATGTTTCTAGTCATTGTCTCTTATCTTCTCATTCTATTAATTTTTTCATTGACACATAATATTTATGGGGCATCGTTTGATATCTTTCAAGATAACTATAGGAGTCCAAGGGTTCCCTTGTCTCTTTTTACAAAAGAAATCTGTTTATCCATGTTACTGGAGAAGCAGAGAGACAGACAGAAGGGCAGAGAGAGGTCTTCTGTCTGGTGCTTCATTCCCCTTACGCCTGCAACAGCTGGAGCTGGACAGACCCACGCTGGGAGCCTGTACTCATGTGGGTCTTCCCATATGGGTGGCAGGGACCCAAGACCTTGGGCCGTCACTGCCTCCCAGGGTGCACATCAGCAGGAAGCTGGAATCGGAAGCAGAGCCGGGACTCGAACCAGGCCCTCTGATAAGGGGTGGGGGTGTCCCACGTGGTGTCTTAACTGCTGGGCCGAATGCCCGCCTCCTGCCGTCCCTTTTGTCTTTAGCCGGGTCCTCCTCTCACCTCCTGTCCCACTGCCCCTGTGTGAGCCACCTCCCACCCTTGTGCTTCCGCTGGGGTTCCTGGTGCTGCTTCCCAGGAGAGGATGCGGTTGACGCTGCCAGGTCTCATCCCCCGGGGCTGTCTCATAGGCCAGGGAGCTCCAGGACAGCCCATCTGGAACTCCTCAAAGGAGGCCGTCCGTGGGCTGTCACTGCATTGCTGTGCGTGGAGCCAAGTGTAGACCCCAGGCGCTGATCTCTCTGCCTGGTCGGGGCACTGCCTTCGCTCCGCCCCCACTTTCCCAAGTCAGCAACAGTCTCGAAGGTTGCCATTGGCTGAGCTCTTGCCGCGGGCCGAGTGCAACCCCGTTATGCCTGGGTGCAGGTGGCATGGGAAAGTGAGGGGCATCCCTGGAGACAAGGACAGCAGCTCAGGGAGAGAACTCCCTCCGCGGCGGGAGCAGCAGGCTGACCGGCTCACACCCGCATCCCCTGGCGGCTCAGCTATCCTCCCCTACCGGCTGCGCACAAGGACTTCAGCCCTGATTTGAAAGCCATTTCTTTCAAATTAGCAACAAGCAGAGACATTTAGGGCTGCAGCGTGCCATTTCGGCACATGTACACAGCGAGCAAGTCGGGGTGGCCGTGCCCCCTTCTCCCGCATTTCTGTGTGGCTGGGGGCTTGGGAACCTTCTGGTTGTCGATATGATGTGTGCTAGGTGGTTGGGAGCTGCAGGCCCTCACCACGCCCACACCGTGGAACCCAGCAGCTGACTCCTTTGGTCCAACTCCCTGCCTCCCCACCATCGCTCCCAGCCCTTGGTAATCACTAAGATTGGGATTTATTTTTTAGCTTCCACTCATGAGTGAGAACATGCAGGATTGGTCTGTCTGGGTCTGGCTTATTTATTTTATGAAGTCCTCCGGTTCTACCCATTCTGCTGTAGTTAACAGGATTTCCTTCTTTTTTTATGGCTGAATAACATTCCATTCTACTTACACCACATTTTCTTAATTCATTCATCGGCTGATGGGCGCCTTGGTTGATGCTGTATCTTGGTTGTTGTGGACAATAACAGCCTTGTTTTAATATCCAGAGGTGAGGTCCAAATGACTGCCCAAGCCATCTGGACTTTTTTTTTTTTAAAGAAGATTTATTTATTTATTTATTTGAAAGTCAGAGTTACAGAAAAAAAAAAAAAAAAGGGAGAGAGAGAGAGAGCACTTCCACCTGCTAGTTCACTCCCCGGATGTTTGCAACAGCCAGTGCTGGGCCAGGCTGACACCTGGAGCCAGGAGCCTCATCTGGGTCTCCCAGTTGGGTGGAAGGGCCCAAACTTCTGCTTCTTTTTCCAGGCCATTAGCAGGGAGCTGGATCGGAAGTGGAGCAGCCGGGACATGAACCCGTGCCTGTCATTTCACTTTCAAATGAAGGGAATTGGAAGACACGTGGATTAGACTGGAATACTCTTTTTATTTTTTTGACATGAACTTTTTTTCATTTGAAAGGCAGAGAGAGAGAGACAGAGAGACAGAGAGAGAGATCTTTCATCCATCGATTCACTCACCCTGTGGCCCACAAAAGCCAGGAATGAGCCGGCCTTGGGCCATCATCCCCTGCTTTTCCAAGTATATTCACAGGAAGCTGGATCAGCAGCAGAGTAGCCAGGACTCAAACCAAGCACTCTGATATGGGACACGGGCTTCCCAAATGGTGGCTTAACCACGGCACCCAGTGCCTACCCTGAGAAGAGGGAGTCTTTTTTTTTTTAAATAAGGATTTATTTATTTAAAAGTCACAGTTACACAGAGAGAGGAGGAAAGGCAGAGAGAGAGAGAGAGAGAGAGAGAGAGAGAGAGAGGTCTTCCATCTGCTGGTTCATTCCCCAATTGACTGCAACGGCCAGAGCTGCGCCGAACCCAAGTCAGGAGCCAGGAGCTTCCTCTGGGTCTCCCACGCGGGTGCGGGGGTCCAAGGACTTGGGCCAGAGAAGAGGGATTCTTGACTAAGGGGTCCTCCTTTACCTGTCTGCCCTTGTGTGAAGCTGTTCGTAAGCCTACTTGCCTAATGTATAAGGCAGGAGAAGCGAGTGCCCAAGTACACATCCAGGGCGTGTGACGTACAAGACGAAACTGCATTCCTGCGCCCCGCAGAGACCACTGGTTTCTTATCCTGGGACTTCCCTGATGGGTTCTGAGCCCCCCGCTCGGCCATTGGGGGTCGTCCAGGGCACTGACCAGCGCTGTTTCCCATCTCCTCTCTTGCAGTAAAGAGTACCCCGTGGTTCCCCGGAGCACGGTGCGGCAGAAGGTGGCCTCCAACCACAGCCCGTTCAGCAGTGAGCCCCGGGCTCTCTCTGCCTCCTCCAACTTGGGGTCCCAGTACCAGTGTGAGAACGGGGTCTCCGGCCCCTCGACGGACCTTCTGCCCCCTCCCAACCCGTACCCCCTGGCCCAGGAGCACGGCCAGATTTATCACTGCACCAAGCGGAAAGGTGAGTGCGACAGCCCCAGCCCGGCGCGCCTCCTCCCCACCTCTTCCTCCTTCCCTGGCGGTGGCCGAGTGTGCGCGGTGCCATCTGTTGATTCTGAACACGTAAGCGACACAGAAGCGCACAGAGACACAGGTCAAGTTGAAGGGGCTCCAATGCCCCTTTTCTTGGAGAAAACGTACTTGGCATGAGCAGGATTTCAGGACCATTGGGGTGAACCCCACCTCAGCCATTGGGAGACTGGCAAGCAGAGCCAACTTACTGAGCCTGGTTTTTAAACAGTCTGTGGGTGCACGGTCATGGAAGGCCTTTTCTCCTGGACGTGGCTCGAGGGCATCGTCACCATGGCAGTCCTCTGTTGGCTCAGGGCTACCCTGCACGTAGCTTGGCTCTAAGATGCACCTGTGTTAGACGTTAGAGGGGCCAGTGCAGGGCCTTTGGTAGTCTGACACCCAGTGCTTCAGTCTCAAGAAAAAAAAAAACTCACTCCCAGGAACCCATGGCCACGGGCGCTCCATGTGGCGAGCAGCAGTTTGGCCATTTGACACGTGCCCATGTTGGCCTTGTGAAAAACCACGCTTGGGGCCAGCCTGGGGCTGGGGAGCTGAGCCGGGCGAAGCCTGACTCCCAGACTCACCTGAGGCCCATTCAGGCCCCGTGGATTCCCCAAGGCTTGAAGAGTGTCCGTGCAGCAGGCCCCCTGGCCCGACTCCCAGCACGTCCGCTGGCGGAGGGGCTGGAGACCAGATGCTCGGAGACGCGTCCGACTCCTTAGCACGGGCAGGAGGTTCAGAGCATCCCATGGAGGGCAGGTCTCCGCACAGAGACGCTGTGCTGTGTTGTACAGAAGAAAGCCCTTCCATCATCCCACCAGGCCTTGCCAACCATGCGGTTTAGCCGGTGCTATTCTAACCCACTTTGCAAATGGGGAAACTGAGGCTCCCAAAGTTTTTTTTTTTTTTTTTTTTAGAGGGTGGAATTTGAATCTGCATTTGCTGGTCTGCTATAGCCACCACCCCTCTCCACCACTCTGTTCTGTCTCACTTATCAGCTACGTGTTCAAAAATCTCATCTCCCACCGGAGAGGTGCTTTTGAGACCAGGGTCAAACTTGCTGATGAAGAGCTCACCAGGTTTGAATTAGGGAGCTCTGTCGATTAAATTAATGCCAGACCGAAAGAAGGGGAGGAAGACGTTAAAAAAGAACCGAGGCACTTTTTTAGGCTCGATATTTCGAGCAGCGCCCTTATAAATACATTCCGGAAGGATGGAGGGGGAGACTCCGAACGGGAGGTCGGCCAGCCCCTTCGGCTCTATGGGTGGCTGAGTTTCACTGGGCATTGTGTGGCCCCCACGCGAACTTCAGATCGACTTGGGATGGCCACTGGGGGAGCAGGAGTTGGAGGCTGGGTTGTTGTTGCAGAAATGGTCCAGTAGCTAGCTGCCTCTCTGCTGCTATGTGGCCGGGGGTGGCTTGCTACCTTTTGTGCAACACGGGGATAACAGTGGCACCCATGTGATGGAACTGAGATGATGGGACATGCGATCATGCAGCCAGGGGGGCCAGCACAGTGCGGCAAAGGGGAGGCTGGGTGACGTCCCTCCCCGCCGTCCCACTCTTAGGCAGCACACACTGTGGCAGGCGGGTCGGACGTTTCTCGAGTGTTCATAGGATGGCTTTGGCATGACTGTGATTGATCGTTACCCAGGAGATGTGCAAAGATGTGTCGGCAACTCTCACACCGGAACACTGGACTGGGGTCCTGGGCGATGGAGCAGGACTTGAAGCAGGGATCTGGGGTCCCCCCGGGGTGTGTGTGTGTGACTGAGTGTGCAGGCAGGACACCCTGGGGAGGGGTGGGGGGCTTGTCCTCTCCAGGGAGCAAACACAAGGCCAGGATGCAAGAGCCTAGGCGAGAGGGAGGCGCTGGGAGAGGAGGCCACTGAAGAAGGCAGGGCCCGGTGCACTGCAGCCCTCGTGTGCCATTGCACTCAGGACTTGAGAGGCAGAAGGCAGCCTGGGAGGGGACGCAGGCGGACGCTGAGGGGTGGGAGGGGCTGGAGATGTGGGTGGGGCCAGGGCTCCGTGACTGCTTGCAGACAACAAGGTGAAAAATGGCCCCTTTCTCACGGATTCAGGGCCAGGGAGCCTGGAGACTTGCCCCAACCTCACCCCACCCCCGGCTCGTGCGTGGGCCGGCCTGAGATGCGCCCCGAAGCCCGTGACCACGGGTGTGTGGGTGTGTGCCCCCTGCGCAAGGCCCTCCGCCTTCGCAGAGACCTCTGCCCTTCTCACCTCCCTCCACCCCCTAGAGAGGAGCTCCCTCGGGGACAGGAGCATTCCAGCCGAGCCCCGTCTGTCCCGCCTGGGAGACAACGCATAGCAATTCATCATGAACCTCCACGCTGCAGAGCGGAGCGATAAGCAATCGCCAGGTTTCCTTCCAGTTCGGGATTCCCGCTAAGTGATAACTCCGTGGGTGGTTTCCCGCTGGCCCCTGCCTGCCCCGCTATCTGACTTCCCCTCATTGTCTGTCTCCTTTCCAGCCGGCCCACAGGCAGCCCCAGCGAAACGTCCAAGGCTCCGCAGGCCACAGGGCTCCCTGGCGTTTGAACCCGGCTGTCTCCAAACTATCTCTCCCGATGGATGGAGCCAAAAAAGCAGGGGAGGTCTTTTATCAATGCCACTCCATCAAAGCCGGGACCCCAGGGCCTGGGGGAGCACTTGTCTGTCTTTCTTATCCTCCCACCCGGACTCGCACCCTCTTCCCAGTAGAAACCAAATGCAATGCCAGTAAGAGATTGAAGGGAGAGTTGGAATTGGATATTGCAAAAGGTACTGCAGGATGCATTTTCTTGGTGCTGTTTTGATTAGAGAGCGAGCGAGCGAGCTTTCATTTGCTGGCTCACTTCCCAAATCCCCATAATAGACAGGACTGGCCAGGCTGAAGCCAGGAGCCCAGAACTCTTTCTGAGTCTCCCCCATGGGCAGCAGGGACGTAACTGCTTGGGTCAGCACTGCCGCCTCCCAGGATACGCAGTAGCAGGCAGATGGGTCGGAAGTGGAGGAGCCAGGACTCGAACTCCACACTGTGATATGGGATGTGGGCGTCCCAAGGGGAGTCTTACCCACTGGGGCCAGGGTCTTGTCCCTACTGCATGTTTTTGGAGGCGGCATCACAGCCTTGCCTTCCCTTCTCTGGGTCCTCCCTCCCCACGCAGAGACTGAGCTGGAGTCTGAGAGATGCAGGCCTGGGATGCATCTTCATAAGAAGACTTACTGAGCATCACCGTGTCCTGGGTACTGTGCTGGGTGCGTGGTACACACCCAGGATGAGGTGAAAGTTGGATTCCCACGGGGAGAGGGGGAAGGGGAGACAGATGATGAGCCGGCAGACACGTTTCATGGTTTCCGAGGGTGGCCAAATGAGCCGGGAAGCTGAGTCTTCCGGTTCCCAGCTGAGGGGCTTCCCATATTCTGAAGGAGCACACACACAGGGGTCCGTCCACCTGTCCGTCCACCCGTCCATCCATCCATCTGTAAGCGTCAAGGGCCGCTGCCTCTCCACGTCGGCTAAGCACGCTGGCTTGGGTGCAGATGGAGGAGGAGCTGTGTCTGAGTGACAGGCCTCGGTCCTGGCCCACTCCGACGTGCCGGGGACAGGCTGACGGCTGCTCTGGCTCCGAGTCTGTGTGTGTGAGGGACCCGCACTGGGCTTTCATCTGGACTAACTCCCTCGCTGAAGGAAATGACCCATTTGGGAGCTGTGACAATATTTGCTCAATAGGATTAGTGATTTGCAGGCTGCTCTGTGAGCTTTCTAGCTCTGGAACCCACCCAAATACCTTCAAGTATTGGATGACCTTCAGAGAGCCATCTGTTCAGGCTTCCGAGAGAGAGCGAGAGCGAGAGGAGAAAAAGAGAGTAGTCCTGGTTATTTGGACAAAGAAAATTTGAACCAAGAGATTTTTTTTTTCCAAAACAATGTGGGTTTTGGGGCTAGTATATGCAAAATTACAACAAAATCAATACAGGTGGGGCCCATATTGTGTCCTGTCACTTATTAATATCTGTAGGGCTTGGTGTAGACTCTGACATTTTCTACACAGATTATCCGTGAACTAAGGGATTTTTAAAGCTCTGTGCTATAAGGAAGACAGAATCCAGATTGCAAGTAGCATTATCTCAGTTAAATCCCACAGCAGTGTGGGTATTATCCCATTTACAATCAGGAACTAAGGCTGCAGTGGTCTGGTGATTCGTTCAGGATCCCTTAGCCAGTGAGCATCAGAGCCCTAATTCTGGGCCTTAAAAATCTATGTTCTGAATGCATTACTAAAGCCATTTGATCCAGAATCAAAAACATCCAGAAAAATCCCAGGGACCAGGTTTTCCCTTGGCGGGTAATTGGCGTCAGGAAGAAAGTCCCTGCTGGCCAGGAGACCCCGTTGGGTTCAGAATCGCAGGAGCTGACTTGGAATAGACCCCTCGTGATGCACACCTGTGACTCCTCCCGTCAGAAGACTGTGCCTAGGGTGCAGCCCCTCCCCACCCAGGAAAGCCAGGAGTGACTTGGCTGCAGAGAGCCTTCTGGCAAACACAGTTACCAGGCTTGCAGTAAAAAGAAAGGAACCAAACCCTAACCAAAATAAACAGGGAGATTCTGTGCAGAGCATCTGTCATGACGACCTGAGACTTGGATGCCGGCTTTGGAATTTCTTTACGGTGTCATGAGGGCGGAGAGACTCCGAGAATGCTCAGGACCCGCTTTCATCAGCAGGCCAGCACTGAGGGTTCTTAGGGCTCTGCATTAGATCTTTGGGGCATTAAAGACTGGAATGTATAATTTTACGATTTTCCAAAATGTGTTCCGGCCTTTTTCCTATTATTCTCCCTTTTTTACTTGTAACAAATCTGGACCGGGATCAGAAACTGGAGAATGCTTAGCCTGCCTTGTTTTTTTTTTCTTCTTCTTCTTTTTTTTTTTTTTTTCTCTTGCCAAGGGTACCCTGCAGCTGTACTTTCTATTATTGAAAAGGGGAACGCCCTGGTTAAATAAAAATCCTAAAGGTTATGATTCTAGCAACAATGGAAACATTCAGATTTATGAATCCGTGGGGCGGGGGTGGGGGTGGCATGGCGGAATGGAAGAGAAAGCATCAAGGGAGGAGGAACAAGGAAGAAAACAAGTCGAGCGTGGGCGGTGTCTTCGAGGCTCCAGACGCTGAAGGGTGAAAACCGTGGCCGCTCACTCATCTGGATGTCTTCACACATCTGGATGGTTGGCATGACGAAGACAGAACACCTGGGAGAGCGACTGCATTTTTCTTTCTTTCTTTTTTTTGCATGAATTTTTGGGAGTCCTATGGGTCCCAGATGTGTCCCAGAAGGAACGTGGCTGAAAATGGAACTTGCTGGCTGCTACGTGGCTAGAACCCTAATGTAGAAGTCCTTTGTGCGGGGAGCCTTTTGATCTACCTGTGGGTGTCGCAGGGAGAAAGAGGCAAATGGAGGTGGTTGGGGGAACCCAAGTGCAGGCTGCTCCATCTGGGTTGCAGGGCTGGCTCAGACCCAGAGCAAGAGAATGGCTGCGCTCTGGACGTGTGCGTCTTCCCATGGCCGCAGGCAGATCGCAGCAGGACCCAACGGGACCCAACCTCTCGGACGGGATCCCATCAACCCGCCCAGCACTCTGTCTGCAATGCTCAGCATGGTCTCTGGCACTTGGGAGGCGCTCAGTAAATCTGTGTTGGGTGACTGGGGTGGTGGCCTTGGCCATGAGGAATCTAGTGAGCTGGAAGCAAGATGTGGCAGGAAATTCATCCGATGCAGCTTTGATTCCAGGCTCTGGTCCTCTGCAGCCGAGTGACCGTGGGCCAGCGATGTCTGAGTTTCAGCTTTGGCCTTGAGGATTTGCTGTGAGATGAGAGTGAGGTCACTTAGGGGGAGCTCCCTAAATATCAGCTCTTACACTCTCTTACCTGCCGCTTGGTCCAGTGTTCTGCCCTTGTGGCCCTTGACCATGGCAGAGAATTGCCTGGACACCCCCCGCTGTTTTTCTCTCCAACTCCCCCCAAGACAGACACTACTTCTTATCTTTTGTTGAATAGGAAGAAACTGGAAGGTGAGTGAAGAAGGTGTTCAGTGTGGAGGGTGAGATGCCAGCTAAGCCATGGCTCTGTGCTCAGGGTTACACCTTGACGGGTCCTTCCAACTCTTGCTTCCTCCCAAGGCGACAGCTAGAAGGTGTTGGTGTAGGTTAGGTCTGCCGTGAGATTGACGGGTGATGTTATCCTTGCAACCAGAGCTGCTCTTGATGGTGGCTATCACGACACACACGCTCAATCTTATTTCTTAGCTCCTCTGTAAAGTAAGTATGATAGTACTTCAAAACGTTCATGGAAGATGGAATTAAAAAATGTTTGGTTTGGTACAAGATATTTTTAAATCCATGCCTTTGAGGGGTCTTGAAAAGTTCAGGAAAAATGGCCATCATGAGATACCATGCAGGTCCAAATCCACACATACCTTTTGGCCTGGAGTCTGAGTTTTGGGGAGTCCTTGCACCCCTTAAAGTTGCATGCAAAACTTGGTGTGGGCCGGCACTGCGGCTCACTAGGCTAATCCTCCGTCTTGCGGCGCCGGCACACCGGGTTCTAGTTCCGGTCAGGGCGCCGGATTCTGCCCTGGTTGCCCCTCTTCCAGGCCAGCTCTCTGCTGTGGCCAGGGAGTGCAGTGGAGGATGGCCCAAGTGCTTGGGCCCTGCACCCCATGGGAGACCAGGAGAAGCACCTGGCTCCTGCCTTTGGATAGGCACGGTGTGCCGGCTGCAATGGCCATTGGAGGGTGAACCAACGGCAAAGGAAGACCTTTCTCTCTGTCTCTCTCTCTCTCACTGTGCACTCTGCCTGTCAAAAAAAAAAAAAAAAAAACAACTTGGTGTGCGCATAGTTTTCATAGCGTTGAGTCTCAGTGTGTTCTAGGGCACAGCCTAGCACTTTCACGAGTCCTCGGCGGGGCCGACGACTCCACGGTGAGTCAAGCAGACCTTTCAGGGACAGAGTGTTCTCCATGAGGAAATGACCAGTGCACAGAGCAGGAGTGAAGTCCTCAGTCAGGAGAGAGCAGCACGTTCATTCTACCAACTCAACAAATGTGAACTGGGTATCCCTGTGTATATGAGGCATCAGGAAAGGATGTGGGGATCCATCTAAAGCTCCCATCCATCTGCCTATCCATCCACACATCCACCCATCCATCCATCCAACCATCCATCCACCCATCCAACCATCCATCTGCCTATCCATCCACCCATCCACCCATCCACCCACCCATCCATCCACCCATCCACCCACCCGTCCATCCATCCATCCATCCACCCATCCATCCATTCACCAATCCATCCATCCATCCAATCATCCATCCACCCATCCATCCATCCACCCATCCGTCCACCCATCCATCTGTCCATCCATCCACCCATCTGTCCACCCATCCATCTGTCCATCCATCCACCCATCCGTCCATCCGTCCATCCATCCATCTGTCCATCCATCTGTCCGTCCGTCCGTCCGTCCGTCTGTCCATCCATCCGTCCACCCCTGCATCCCTGCATCCCTGCATTGCACACGTATTTATTTCTTCGCTTCTCCGTGGATCATGACGTTGGAGAGCAGGGCCTTTGCAGTCAGGCTACTGGGATTCTAATCCTGGCTCCAGCAGTTAGAAGGTTTCTTAACCTCCATGTGCTTCTTCTCTTTCCTCTCGCAGTGGGGGCAGAGGTAGAACTCGCCTCCTGGGGCAGTGGTGAGGCTCTAATGGGTGTGCCTGGAACAGCGTTAGGTGGCGTAAACACTGTGGTTACTGTTTACTGTTACTGTTACTGTGACTGTTGATGCTGTTGTCATGAACTAGCAGGTGTGCACCAGGTTCAAGAACCGTAATGATGGCTACGACAGATTTAAGGAATTCACAGCAGGGGATGAGGGAAGATGGTGATGGCGACTGTTTGTTGAGTGTTTTCTTGTGCCAGGCTGTGGACTGAGTGCTGAATTCATATTTTCCCATTGAATCCTCAACACTCCCCTTTGTAGCACTATTATTACACTTTCCATTTACATTTTTTAAAAAAGTATTTATTTAGAAGGCATGGTGGGGTGGTGGACAGACAAAGAGAGAGCTCCTGTCCAATGGTTTGCTGCCCAGGTGCCTGCAGCTGTAACCCGAGTTTCCCGTGTGGGTGGCAGGGACCCCAATACCTGATCCATCCCCTTCCATGCATCTGCCATCCGACCATGCTCCTGCGGGGTGTGCGGTAGCAGGTAGCTGGAATTGAAGTGGGGCCGGGACACGGGCACTCCCATCTGGGCATTCCAAGTGGCGCCTTAGCTGCTGTGTCCAATGCCTGCCTCCCAGTTCCCTCTTAGAGATGAAGAAACTGAGCCCCAAGTGGATCGGCCGTCACCTGGAACTCCACAGCCCAGGGTCTCCACATAGCCCACCCGTAGGTATCCAAGGGGGGCTGTAGCTAGCAGTCGGCCGACTCCACGCTCCGGTCCGCTGGGCAGCCAGCCCAGTGGCGGCCTCTGCCTTTGGCCGCCCGGCGCTTGTCCTGGTCTCACTGGTGTCCCTCTTGTCTCTGCAGATGAAGAGTGCTCCACCACAGAGCATCCATATAAGAAACCCTACATGGAGACCTCCCCCAGTGAGGAGGACCCCTTCTACCGCCCCAGCTACCCCCAGCAGCAGGCCCTGAGCGCCTCCTACAGGACAGAATCGGCCCAGCGGCAGGCCTGCATGTACGCCAGCTCGGCGCCCCCCAGCGAGCCGGTGCCCAGCCTGGAGGATATCAGTTGCAACACGTGGCCCAGCATGCCTTCCTATAGCAGCTGCACGGTCACCACCGTGCAGCCCATGGACAGGTTGCCCTACCAGCACTTCTCCGCTCACTTCACCTCGGGGCCCCTGGTCCCCCGGCTGGCTGGCATGGCCAGCCACGGCTCGGCACAGCTCGGAGAGGGAATGTTCCAGCACCAGACCTCCGTGGCTCACCAGCCTGTGGTCAGGCAATGTGGGCCCCAGACTGGCCTGCAGTCCCCCGGGAGTGTTCAGCCCCCTGACTTCCTCTACTCTCACGGCGTGCCTAGGACCCTGTCCCCACACCAGTACCACTCTGTGCACGGGGTTGGTATGGTGCCAGACTGGAGTGAGAACAGCTAAGGTGGAGCCTGCGTCGTCACAGACATTCACCAGAGAATGAGAGAGAGAGAGGGAGAGAGAGAGGGAGAGGGAGAGAGAGAGAACCCCGTGGACCAGAGTTTCACCCTGTGATGGCCTCCAGCACTCAGCGGTTCACAGCGCCGTTGGAACCACGTGACTTCATTGCTTTGTCTCAAAACTTCACGAATGAGCAGAATCAGCCAAGTCCTGCCCCCCACGGCCACCACGCTCATCAGGCAGACCCCGGGGCCCCCAGCCAACACCTTGCCTGCCCCGTCAGCTGTCTTCTCCCAGCACGTGGTGGGCGTCTCCCTGTCTTGGTATTAATGTTGACTGTGTTATATAATAAATCATAATATATTTTTTTCTTTCAATTTTCTTGACGGGACCCAGTCCCTTATTGGTGGCGGGGGTGGGGGGAGGTCTGAGGCAAGTAGGGTTCAAAATATGTACTTGTGGGGTTCCCCTCGTCCGTCCCTAAGAGCGGCCGCCGCCACCCTTCCCTCCTCCACCAGGAAGAGCACCTACCTCCACCGGGAGATGTTTCTGGAAAGGTTCCTGCCGTCTTCTGCTCTCGCCCTGCACTCTCCATCACCGTGGCGCCCAGTCGCGGCCCCTCTGCCGGAGCCAGGATAACGTGGGGCCCCATCTGACAGCCTATCTCCCCCAGCCCCGCCGGCTTCCCAGCTCCCGGTCTGTGCAGCCGTCTGTCGCTCCAACGTGGCCTATAGCTTCCCGTCCGGAAAGGTTGCTTTGAACAACTTAAAAAGCCCCGGTGTGCATGTGGGGCCAAACTGTGATAAGCAGGGCACAAGCTCTGTCGCTGACAAGAGTTGTGAAAAAAAAAAAAAAAAAAGCCCAAAGAAATATTCTTCCTGATAAAAAACAAAGCCAGCTCCAAGCTTCCAGACCTCCGTCGCCGATGACCCAAATGGGATGCAAAGCAAAACCCACGCTTGCTAGAGAAGAGACCTGCTCACCGCTGACTGCTCCAGCACCCGATGCCGACACAGAACTGTGCTTACGGAAGGCAGAAAACAGTGCTAAAAAAACAAAAGGCCGTGTAAGTAAAACGTTATTGTAGGGTTCTTCAGATGTAATATTTTACTGGTACTATTTATTTATAAATAGGAATTCTAATTAAGTAATAACATGGAATGCAAACCAGCATGGGAGCTGGCCAAGAGCTTTTAATTTTATTGATACTCAAAACCAAGTTTGTGTGTTTTTTTTTTCCTCCTGAATGTGCTTTGCTTTCTTGATTACAAAAAAACAAAAAACAAAAAACAAAAAAACAACCAGTAAGTGACCCTAAGGAAGAGAACAGGGTAATGTTTGAGGCTGAGAATGTCCGAGTCCGTGCAAGTGTGCGTGTGTCTGTACGTGGGTGTCTTTCGCGGTTCTGTCTTCGTGTTGCTAAGGGGGGGAGGGGCAGGATTACGTACTTGTTCCTTATATTTGTGTGCCAGTTAATGCCTAATAAAAACCATGTGCTTAAAAACGTCCGAGCGACTTAAACACCCTGGCTTTTTTTTTTTTCCCTGTTCTTTCTCCTGACAGAAGGGAGGGGATGTTAGCTGGAAAGAGTTGTGTCTCGTGCCAGTGTCTGCCCCTCTCTGTTTCCTTCTGCTCCACTCGGGGACAGGGAGGACCCACTGCACTGGAACGTGGTGGAGCCCGGTGCAGTCTGTGGGCTCTGCACCTGCAGGTTCACCCAACTGCGGGCCAACACACGCACACACACGCACACACACGCACAGTGCACCCGTACTGAGCCTGTGCTATTTCCTGAACAATACTCTATGGAAATGTTTACCCAGCATGCATGCCGTTTTCATTATAAGAGCGAATCTGGGATGATTTCAAGTACCCAGGGCATGTGTGTAGGTTCCAGGCAGACAGAATTTTCTAGACGAGATCGGAACACCAGCGTGTGTTGGCATCTACAGGAGATCCTGGATCCAGACTCCACCCACCCCATGGTTCATGTCCCTGGAATACAATGTTTCACCTGTGTTGCCTTCCTGCTGCTGTTGGCCTTGTCACCCCCTCCATTCTTTGTCTCCTGCTGGCTCTCTGCTCTGACCCCATTGCTGCCATGAAGTCTTCGGGGAGCCCAGTGCCAAGATCTGGGCGGATGCTTATTTAAAATGCCGCATGTTGAGGATTCGAGTTTGGCCTGCGTCGCACCTCTGGGTTAGTAAATGGGGGAGCAAACAGTGCTGGGGTCTTTTTTTTTCTTCTGGTTTTCTCACGCTCCTGCTTACATCCCTCTAGCTATCAAGAGCCAACCACTGGCCGGCGCTGTGGCTCATTAGGCTAATCCTCCGCCTGCGGTGCCGGCACACCGGGTTCTAGTCCCCGTTGGGGCGCCAGATTCTGTCCCGGTTGCCCCTGTTCCAGGCCAGCTCTCTGCTGTGGCCCGGGAAGGCAGTGGAGGATGGCCCAAGTGCTTGGGCTCTGCACCCCATGGGAGACCAGGAGGAAGCACCTCGCTCCTGGCACAGCACTCCGTCTGTGGCGGCCATTTGAGGGGTGAACCAATGGAAGGAAGACCTTTCTCTCTGTCTCTCTCTCACTAACTCTGCCTGTCAAAAAAGAAAGAAAGAAAGAAAGAAAGAAAGAAAGAAAGAAAGAAAGAAAGAAAGAAAGAAAGAAAGAAAGAGTGAGCCAACCACTATGTCCCATTCCCCTCGAAGCAAGAACCATTGACTTGTTGATTACGAATTATTCATGCAATCAGCACCCCCCTGCCCCAGGATCTTGCCTAGGCAAAGACCTCCGAGAAGTGTGAATTAATTATAAAGAAATGACAATTCAGCTGCTCCCAAGTGCAGTGGAAAAACTAGGTCAGTGACCTGCCCATCCCCAAGGGACAGAATTATTCAAGTTTCACTGAATAAATTCTGGCTCTAAATATTAATTCTGGTGGGTTCAGCTAAAAATAAAAGGGAAGATTGCCTTTGAAGAAATTCTCTCCCAAACTATTTTTCCCAACTATACGAGATAGGCGATTCTTTCAGAAGAACATCATCCAAGCACAGGTTGAGTGGCCCTTATCCAGAGCATGTGGGACCGGAAGTTCTGCATGTTAGATCCGTTTGGATCTGGGATGGACACAGTGATCTGTCTTGGGGATGGCACCCAAATCTAAACATGAAATTTGCTTGTGTTCCATAGACGCCTATCCCCACGGCCCCAAGGGAGTTTCATGCAGTATTTTAGTGCACCTGCATTCTCTCTGGGACCTCTCAGGTGTGGATTCCTCCTCTTGCAGGAGCGTGCATTGCTCAAAAAGTGGGAGAGTTTGGATTTCCAGATTCGGATGCTCAACCTGTATGGAGTTAACAACACCCCCACCACACAACTCAAACATTTGTCACCACTGGAAAAAAAATATGTTCGCAGCAAGTTATATATATCGGGGGAGGGACATTGGCCTTCCATACGGTGCAGGTTAACCACTCTGGGTCCCAGACAATGGTTGTGCTGAATCGTTTTTCTGAATTGGTAGGAGTAGAGATGTAATATCCAAACGTTCATGGAGTTCTGTCATTGTGTTGGTGTCACACATTGTCATATTCCTACGTTGTGTGTTGTGAATGCTCTGGTCTGGACACATAAGTGCTGGAGACACAGGGATGGACAAGGTGACGGGGGGCGTGTCCTCCTGGAGCTGGTGGGTTAGCGACAGAAACAGAAACAGGTAATTGTCTGCTATGCAGGCAACAGGCACAATATCATAAAGGGAAAGACAAGGATCCTAACATGATCTGGGGGAGGTAGGCGACTTTTGACCCGAGCCCTAGTGGGCAGTAGAATTATCCAGGTGAAAAATTAAGAGGAAAATAATTGCAGGCAGAACTCATGGCATATGCAAAGGTCCTGAGGCAGAAATCATGATGGAAGTATGAGTGGTAGGTTCACAAATGAGTGGTCCCTCCCACCAGTCTGCATTCACGCATTCACTCTGCAAACACGTGGGAAGGCCCGCCTGTGTGTGGTGGATTCTCCTTGGGATCCTGTCTGTTGTGTTGACTCCCTTTCCAGGTAGCTCCCACTGCTGTAGGAGGGGGGATCTGCAAGTGTGGGTGCCGGCTTCCTTGTACTCGGGCGAGGAACATTACAGCACCCTCCTGGCTTCCTGGGTCCCTGGAGTGCGGGACTCAATGGGATGGAGGCAGAAAGAACCCTAGAACTCTCCGAGCGTCAGCCCATGCGTGTGCCCCTGAGATCACACAGCTGGTACACGGTGAAGCTCACATGGGAGCCTCAGTGTGTCGAAGCCTTGGCGTCCTCCTCCAGTGGAGGGAGACGTCCCATCACCCCCGGAGGACTGTCGGAGGTCCAGGCATCCAGTAAAGTGGAGACGCCACAGCTGCTTCCAAAGGAGGAGTTCAGTCTATGAAATGCAAGTTGAAAGTCATTTTTACCCATTGATTCGGCAAATGCTTATTGTTAATGAGGAAATGGCAAACAACCTCTTAAGCCGTCGATTGAAAGGAAAATTGGGTAAGCTTTTTGGGAGGAGAGGTTGGCAAAGTATAGAAAAGCCTTTACAATGTGCTAATCGCTTAATCTGATCATTCCGCTGGGAGGAGCCGGGTGTAGGAAGTAATCAGGGATCCGCATCACTGTTTTCTGGGAAGTCACCATGAGTTTTTCTGATCCTGCGCAACTGGAGTTAGCCTTAATATTCCCAAATGTGGGATTGCGTAAACATGGTAGTGTCTGCCGGTCCGGTGGACTGCCACATGGTCACTCAGGAACACACTGGGAAGGGGAAGACAGGAGATGGACCCAGGGAGCCTTGGACGTAAGAGCGGTAGCTGGCAGCAGCTCCATGACAGCTCCCCGGTGTTACTAGTACGCCCGCCTCCATTCACTCACACTTGGACAGAAACCAGCAAAAACGCTGTTATGCCGCTCTACACAACAGTGAGTGCCGGGATCATGGGTGTCGCGTTCTCTTTGTGCTTTGGGGTGCTTCCTGGTTTTTTGTGATGAAGATGAATTATCTTTGTACTTAGGAACAGAATTAGTAAAATAAAATCTAGCTTGCCCTTGGCTGTGGGCTGACACAGGTTCACGAGGGATGGCACACTGCTGTCTATACGGAGAGGTCCCATCGTGAGAGACATTGGCCGGGTCGAGCTTCATATCATCACAGCGTGGTCTCCCGCAGAGACAAGGTGGTAGGGCAGGCATTGGCCTTGTGGTTAAGACGCTGGTGAAGGCCGGTGCCGTGGTTCACTTGGCTAATCCTCCACCTGTGGCGTCGGTACTCCAGGTTCTAGTCCCGGTCGGGGCACCGGATTCTGTCCTGGTTGCTCCTCTTCCAGTCCAGCTCTCTGCTGTGGCCCGGGAGTGCAGTGGAGGATGGCCCAAGTGCTTGGGCCCTGCACCCCATGGGAGACCAGGAGGAAGCACCTGGCTCCTGGCTTCCAATCGGTGCAGTGCGCTGGCTGTGGTGGCCATTTTGGGGATGAACCAACAGAAAGGAAGAATTTTTTCTCTGCCTCTCTCTCTCTCACTGTCTAACTGCCTGTCAAACAAACAAACAAACAAAAGACGCTGGGGAAAGACACCTACGTCCCCCACGAGCGCCTCAGCTCAGTGCCCAGCTCGGGCTCCTGGCCCCAGCTTCTGCTCATCCAGACGTTGGCAGGCAGCCGCGAGGGCTCAAGGGATTGGGTTCCTGCCGCCTGCCTGGGAGATTTGGCTTGAGCTTGCAGGTCCTGGCTTTGGCCTTGCCCATCTCGGCCACTGCAGGCATTTAGAGTCAGTATAGGGACAGGTGCATACCCTCTGTCTGCGCTCTCTCTGTCTCTCAAATTAAAAGGAAAAAAAAAAAAACCAACAAGGAAGCAAGGGGGTGCCTGGAGGTTCCTTTCAGTTTTCACTTTGTGGGGTTGCTACTTGTTTGCATTCTCAGTTGTCTTGATGTCTGGCTGGGGTGAGCTAGGACCCCCTTGTTAAGAAATACAGCACACACACACAGATGCACACACACACACATACACACAGAGAGACAGCCACACACACAGGCGCACACACACAGACGCACACACATACACATGCAGATACACATAGACACACACAGACACAGACATATACACACGCAGACACACAGACACACACTTAAACATGCAGACACACAGAGACAGACAGACACACATATGCACACGCAGACACACAGACACACACACACACAGACACACACACAGACACATGCAGACACACAGACACACACATCAGGTGCTCACATCTCTGGCCTCTGTTCTACAACGGACCTGGGTTCTCTAATTCACTCTGTCACTTCCTGCTTCTGTGACCTTGGGACTGCACACCGGATCGCCTGTGACATGGGGATAAGCTGAGTACATGACTTATCCCGGAGGATTCTGGGTCCACGGAGGCCCGGGTGAGACAAAGGGCAGCCAGGGCTTGCCCTGAGCTCGCTTAGAGAACCACTCACGGGTGAAAACATCCATCGCTGTCCCCTTCTTTCTCCTCCT